ATATATGTATGTATGTATATATATATGTATGTATATATGTATGTATATATGTATGTATATATGTGTATGTATATATATATAAAATAAAAACATTATCTGCACTTACTCTGCTCACTCAAATAATGTTTTTGGGTTATTTTAAATCATTGTGGAAACACTGGGGAAAGAATAATTTGGATTTATTGCTTGTGTTGCCACAGTCAGAACAGGTGTTGATAGTTAAAAGTTGATGAACTTTATCACTTTAATGTGTTTACTAGTATTGTATGAAGATATTGCATTTACAGGAATGTTGCATTCATGTGAGGAAGTTTTCACTAGCCAAGTTCCCATCTTGTTATTTTATCTATAAACACCTTGTTAAGCATCATGTGTTTACTATACATTCAATTGCCAGTTTATTAGGAACACCTAGTCACAACTAACGCAATCCATAGCTCTGCAATAAATCCTCTATTAATGAAGGTTATATATATAAATTTTTGATGAAACAGTTTTAAAGGTGTTTATTCAATTGTGTGGTCTCATTTTGTCCACCCCATTAATATGAGTAAAGGAAGGTTCACCTCCTCTAAAACAGTTTCAACAACATCATGAGATTTATTGCCGGACTGTTTTATTAGACTGCATTTACTTTAGCTAGGTATAGCTAATAAACTGGCAATTATCCAACAATACATATACAGAGACATAAAAATGTATTCACGTCGCCCCCTCAGTTTAAGCCTTGAATCTTCAGTAAAACCATGAAGTAACACTGCAGCATAGTGACCAAAGTGTTTCCGTCTCTCCAGCACGGTGTCTTGTCCAAGAGTTTGTGGAGCTGATGGGTCACTGTAACACCATCCAGGCCCAGTACAGAGACCGCAATGTGGAGAGGATACAGAGGCACTCAAAATCAGTGAGTACATGAAGCACGGCTGTGATTTCTTCATCTGCGTGTTCAGTTGTGTGGTCTTCTCCTTTCTCTGACTGTCACTTACTAACATGAAGTCTTTACTTTTAATACACCATATTAAGCATTCAGACACACTATATAATGATTTAATAAACGGTTTGTAACACACTTTAATGTAGTTTGTAATGTAACTCCTATTACAGCTGTTTATACAGCAGCCTCCACTTATGGCTGCCCACAGGAGGCGTTACATTAATTAACAATTTATATGCTTACAACTACATTTTACTGTGTTTATAAACTATCTAATAAATGTTTATATGCTGCTTATCAATGCTAAATATGGAGGTTAAAGTAAAGTGTCAGGAAAGATACAGTCAGTGTTAATTTCACCAGCATTTTGCACTTAGTTACAGTCTGTTGATGAAAAGGATTTAGCTTAGTCATTATATTAACTTTATCCAATATACACTGACTAAAGGTACGGCCTTAGAAACGCAGGACTCTCCCGGATAATATAACAATCATATTGGCCACCAGTTTATTTGTTTCAACTTTTTTAGGAGAAATCATTTTGGCTCAAAATACTACAATACCCATGAACCTTTCTCAACACCGTCCTTTTTAGCTTTCATCCTGCCTTTAGCATGTAACAGAATTTTAAACTCTGTGACTGGATGTTTCTTACTAAAATGCACCTTAACAGTCAGGAGTTAAATTCTACCTCAGCTTATTTATGTAGCGGGTCGTACCCTGAACATTTAGTAAAAAATATATATATTATATTTTCTAACACAGTTGTTAATATTTTAGACTGATGATATAAACGAGAGAGTTTCCTGATGATCTGCAGCTGTAGAAGAGCTCCAGCTGTGAGTCACGTTAACTTTGTATCTGAGAAAATTACTGGGGCTTTAACCTCCTGAAATAGTGAAGAAACACGCTGGAGAAATAACTTCTCCATTTCTAAACACAGTGCTGCAGTGTTTCTGTTGGCTCAGTCATTATTTCAAGCAAAAATATCCAAGATTTGATAGTTTCTGATTCTGAGAAGTGAGAATTTCCTTTTTATTTTTGTTATTACAATAAATTTAACATTTTTGAGGTTTGAACTGTTGGACAAAGAGTTTTAATGACATCACATTGTTCCTCTGATGTTTTTATACTGTGTGTGTGTGTGTTGTGTGTGTGTGTGTGTGTGTGTGTCTTGACCAACTGTTCCTGTTTTTTTAGTATAATCAACTTTTATTGTATTTGGCTAAGTCTGTGTGTATTTATAGCGTAATCTTTTTTTATCTTTTTAGGGTGACGCATTACCACCAGTCCATGCTCAGTAAAGTTGAATTAAATAAAAATAATCGTTAGTTGCAGCCTTATATCGTGGTCTATCTTATTCAGTTCAACTATAGAGAAAAAAACACGAGCTTCACAGAAGAATGACGCGAGGAGAACAACGCTTTTGTTTTGTTTTTTAATTTTCATTTTCAGTGTCTCTCCTCTGCAACATTTCTCAAAAACATGAACATCCTGTACCCACAAACACTGATCTAACGTGCTTCTCACTTTCAGCCGGAACCAACGTGACAGACGAGGAGCTGGATACTATGCTCGAGAGTGGGCAGACGGATGTTTTCACACAAAATGTGAGTGCACGCGAGATGAAAGGCTGATGTTGGAAACCACAACACAACAGCACCTGCTGTAGCAGAACACATTTACAGTTTGCTGGTGTTTTCCATCAACCACCATCTGGTAGTAGTAGTAGTAGTAGTAGTAGTGACGTAGTAGTGACTTTAAGTGTTTGAAATGATGACAGATTTGCTCTGTTGTAGCTTCACTAGTTGCTCAAACTGGACAACACATTTGGTAAGCATTCAAAAGAATAAGAATTTGATGCCTTTAGTGTTTCGGTAGCTCCTAGTGTGAAGGGCCCGGCTAGCTTTTGATGTCTGTTAGAGACAGTGGTGGAAAGTAACTAAGTACTGTACTATTTTGAGGTACTTATCTTCATTTGAAATGTCACTACATTTATCTGATAGCTCTAGTTAGTCTATAGATTAAAATTTTACACAAACACACAATATGTTTACAGTTCATAGCCTTTTTTTTGCTTGTGACATGGTACAAAACTTTCAGCTTTACAAAGAAACTGCAAAAAGTAGTCCATAAAAATAAATGTTTATAGCAGAACTTATAGTACTATAGTTTTTTCTTCTTTCCTCTCCCATTAATCATCTCGCAACCCCTCAGATTAATTTTGTGACCACTTGTAGGGGCCCGACCCCTAGGTTGGGAACCACTGGACCGAACTGTATATATACAGTAGTTAAAACTAGCTCCACCTTGAGCAGCTACAACAGTAAAATGCTGCTACATTTATGATTATGATGCTTTTGTACTTTTATGATTATGAATTGAAGGCTTTTACTTGTAACAGTGTATTTTTACAAGGCTGTATTGGTACTTTTACTTATGGATCGCAGTACTTCTTCCAACCACTGGTCATAGATGAAACCCTGAAGCCTCGTGACTGTTGGAAGATCTTTCTATTGTCCATAATGCAGCTAATAAATATCTGCACTGTGTTGTACAGATCCTTATTGACGCTAAAGCTACAAAGCAGGCTCTGAATGAAATTGAGTCCCGACACGATGAGATCCTGAAGCTGGAGAAGAGCATCAGAGATCTGCACGACATGTTCCAGTACCTCGCCATGGAGGTGGAGGCTCAGGTAAAGCAAACGCTGATGAAGTCTCTCAGGCTTGTTTGGGTTACAAAGAGTTATCTGATTCTGAAGCATTTGCCTCCTGCAGGGGAGATGGTCAACCGGATTGAAACCAACATCAACCAGTCTTCAAACTATGTGGAGAAAGCAAAGGACAACACAGCGAAAGCTGTAACATATCAGCAGAAAGCACGCAAGGTACAACGTGGTTTCACATTAAATGTTTAAGATACCATGAAATGGACACTTTAACTTACTGGAAAACATTTTAGTGGGCAAAGGTACAGTTCTGACTTCTACCAGTCCGTATCAAAACAAATAGTCTTTCTCTCCTTAAACTGATTTTCCACTGGTTTACTCTCTGGACACTGTCCCGTCCCAACAGGAATAAATTGGCCATTTCATTTATCTTATCTTAATGTTGCACCTGATTCATTTTGCTTGTGTATTAACTGATCTATTTGTGTCTCCTTCAATGTAGAAAAAGATTTGGATCGCGATCTGTTTGGCCATCCTCATCCTCATCCTAGTCATCTCATTGGTCTCCACCTTCGGCTCCTAACTCCAGGCAGTGAGAGTTGGCTGTAGACCTGTGTGGCAGAAGCACATTCTGGGTTTCATGTAAAAAATATTCATAATTTAGCATGTACGGGTGAATTAAGAGAGCATATTATGTGTTATCATCCCTCTGCATTTGTTATTTTCACATTTTATATTCCTCTAATCCTCCTAATAGGACTTTTGTTTTTTTAAAGAGATGTGCTTTCTGTTGTTTTAACTTTCAAATGACTACAATCTTGCCTACATTTCAACTTCCACTCAAGAGGTAGCGCTGCTGGTTTATGGAGTCCCCCGGTCAGATTCTGGTCTGCAACACAAAGACCAGGACAATGTATGAACTGTTACGTCAGCCCCTCTTCCCCTCCTAAATAGAAAAAAGAGGAAATAAGTGGCCTTGAGAAAGGCACAATACAGTATTGAAATCCAACATTGCGCTGTTCATACTGTACTCAGGAAACTGTGCGTTCTTGTTACCTTGTTGTTTCTGGATCAATTGGAGACGTAAATAACAATTGTAATAGATTAGGGCTTTCTTTTATAGGAATATAGTAAATAGACTAATAAATGTACATAACCTATAATGCTGGTGATTATGACATTCTTTATGCAGATGACTTTTTTTAAACTTGAAAGTTGTTTCGTTACTGCCTACATGTAACAAGTGTAAATACAGATCTTTTTTTGTGAAACAGCCCCCCCCCCCTTCCCCTCCCTCCCACCATCCCCTCCCTTTATCTTAATCTTACGTGTGTCTGCACTGCAATAAAAAGGCCTACGGCCCACTTTTATTTGTCCTACCAGTCTGTATTTAGATTTGAACAATGTTGTGTAAGCTGCTACGAGATAATTCTGCAACAACACATAATGAAGCCTTTTCAAAACGGTGCCTTCTTCTTTATGTACACGTCAACAGCTCAAGTTGAGTTTGTGATGTTGAGCACTAACATTGTAAAAGATGGAGTGAGTTTTTTTTTTTTTTATTGTTTATATTTGTTTGTATTCAAACTGCAGTCTTTCAGCTGGGAGTTCTTGCATCTTAGCCTGACACGTATACTCTTTAGACTTTATTTTTCCTTCACTTGTTTGTCACATTGTGCAAAGTCTCCATTTGTCCTGCTAGTTTTGCGACTTAAATTCAATTCTGTGGGGAAAAATTGGAAAGAAGTGAACCCAGAACCAATTTATGGAGACAAACGGTACCTGCTGTCCACTACAACATGACAAATGTGTAACGAAAAGTAAACCAAACCCGTTTTATTGTTGTCCAGTACTCATTCAAGTCTCCTTTGGAAACAAAAGCTGCCTGTCTGCACAGTTACGAGCAGAAAAAGAATGACTTTGCTACTGTGTAATATTATGGCTGTTGAATTTTGCATCACATTTATTTTAATATAGATTTGTTTTTAAAATAAAGTACTGCCATCGTCTATTATTCTGTTTGTCTTGTATCATTAATTGTAAGACCTTGTTGGTTCGTTGTTACACAGACTGAAAAGTAATTTTCCCCCCATCGAAGCCTTTCTTTAAAGCAAGTACCTAATAATAATAATAATAATGTCTGAAACAAACCAGTATTCACCCACAATTAAACACATTTTCAACACAAGAAAAATGGCAACTAATTTTTGGTCTTTTTATTCAACTGTAATTGTCTTAATTTTTCAAGTAAAACAATGTGGAATTACAAGGGATCAAAGGAATGCAACAAATGAAGAGAGAAATCATAAGACCATCACCATAAACTACCCATCCAACCCAACCCCCCACCCCAACCCCATTTGCTCAAAGTAGCTTAGACAAGTCCAAAAGTAAATCGACAATTTACAGTCATCTGGAACTGTACCAGTAATTTTATTCACATATTTTGTCCAAGTATTTTTACATGAACGAAGAGCAATGAAGTGATGGTGACAAAAATTCAGGTGAAAAATAAAACATTTGGTAGCACTGACGCACATGGTGCTTTCCTTGTTTCTGGGGGATCTTTTTTGTGTGTGTGTTTTGTTTGGCTTTTTTAAACAACGAGAGAAGCTCGACACCCCTGCTTCAGGTGCTTCACAAGGCAATCTGAGGTTTAAACCCATTTGGCCAAATAGGCACTCTTAAATTTCAATAACTTTGCCTTTTCTATCTAAATACAAGACAAAGTGGGCCGTAACAATAACTGCCTTTGGGAAGATTAGGAAAAAGCTAATTGGATTTTTCCTGCTCCGGGTCTGTGGTGGGGAGCAAACTTAAATTAATACATTTTTCGAGCTGTAGAGATACATCATAAAAGGTACCAGGAACCAATTAATTGACTGAAGTTGATGTAAAAATGTATTACTACACCACAATGTACTCAAAAGCCGAGGGCCACATTATCAGATGTGCAAATGAGAAATGCAAGGCTGGATTTAAAAATGAATCCAATGAACAGAAACTGACATGAAAAAAGGGGCCCAAGCAAAGACAAGCTCCAGCATAGTGCAGCAAAGATCACATTGACAGATCAGTTCTCTTCCTAATACCCTGGAAGAAATAATAAAAATGCATAACTTATCAACTGACTACAAAGAAACAATAGTCAGGGACAGCTGACGAAATTTTCAAAACCAAACTTTCTAAAACCTCCAACTTACAATACAACTGGTCACTCAAAAGTTTTTTATGTCACACAAATGACTTTTCATTTATAACCCTAATAAGAGGTGCTGTATAATCCCATCTTAACACATAAGATCTGAGTTTTCCAGTCTTAATGATTACAGTACATAATGTGAACTAACAACCTTCCTTTATTACCTGTTGCACCTTTATCCCACTCAAGTCCCAGTGGTGAATCTATCCACTGTACTGGGCTCCGTCTGTTTACGGACGCACAACGACGGCGCCACATTTTTTTAACTCTCAGTCCGGCATCCCTGAACCTTCCCCCAGCTGACAATGGCTGAGCTGGTGAGGGGACCAGCTCTAATTGGAAAGGAGAGGGCCCAAGAGGCAGGGGAGGTCCCTGGCTTGTGCAGCACACAGTTCCCTTGCATTCATTAGAGTGCAGACAAAGCAGCAACCTTGGAGCTTGTGACACGCTCCCTTATCGTGCTCCGCAACAACACTCTCACTTTTAGTTTTTCTCTTTGGCACTCTGATCATGTTTTGTTGTGACGATGTTGACCAAAGAGGAGCGGGTGTTTGCGGCCGGTGACCGGGCCTGCGCCGCCGCCAGTGCTGCGACACTACGCAGCACCCTGTCCGGCGTCCCCTCTGTTCCCGAACTGCTGGTCACCTCCTGCGAGAGCTTTTGAGACCTCCTGCTGTCCTGCCGGCTCTCCCTTTGCTGTCCCCGCTTCTCTTTTGTGTGTCTGCTCTTTGCCCGCTCTGAGCTGCGCTCGCTGCCGGAGGAAGCGGCACGGGACTCTCTGTGTTCCGTGTTTTGAGAGCTGATGCTGTGGGTACGCTGGCTGCTGTTGCTGCTGCTGCGGCTTCGGCTGCTGCGTCCACCACCGTCGCCCTCGCCATCACTGCTCATGCTGCTGCAGGCGCTGTGGCCCCGGGACGACGACTGCGCCTCTACCTCGCCTTCTTTTCCCCCTGACGACTTCCTACTCCCCCGCTCCTTTCCTCTGGTTTGGGCCTCTTGTACTCCATTTCCAGGGGTGGAACCAGAGAACCGGGGCATTGTCTGGTGGAGCGGAACCAGAGCGACTTGTCTGATTGGGTGTTGAGGGCTTGCTGCCACTGCTTTTATTATTAGAAAGAGTTACAGAGTTACTCTGAGGAGAGGCTGGTACACTTTTGCTTTTAGGCTTTTGGTTCTTATCAGAAGAGGAGGCAGGAGAGGTCCCAGCAGCCTTAGTCCCCGAGTCTTTCCGAGTGGTGTGGCCAGGTGTATCCACCCTGCCTTTCATTGCTAGGAGCTTGGCTGCTGCATTGAGTGCCGAGCACCTCTTTCCCAGAACTTCAGGCTCAGGAGCTAAGGAGGGAGCGCTGTTTGTCTGAGCTTTACAGTCTTGTGAAGGCTGAGATCCTGCAGACTTCCTGGTGATCCTAACAGAAGAAGTATCACTGCCAGACTCTCCACCCGTGGATATGTTGGCATTGTTTGATGCATTTCTATCAGAGCTGTGTGCAGGTTTCTTTCCTTGCCGGTTTTGCCCTTTTCCCTCTCCGGCTCTTGTCCCCTGTGCTTGGCTGAGCGAGTCAACCGTTGCTCCTTCCTGCTCTCGCCGTTGTCCGAGTCCGAGGAGGAAGAGGAAGCCCTGGAACGCCTTCTCCGAGAGGTAGCGTCTGTGAGATCCTTCTCGCCGCCTTCCTCTTTCTTCTCCCCACCCTCTTCTTTTTTCTCCTCCCTCCCTTCTTCTGAGGTGACATCCATTCGCCTCTTCTTGGCAGGATGTCTATTCTCGTAAGTCCTCTTGTGGTGAGCATGGCGAGTGAGAGTAGTTGTAGAGCACCCAGATGATGGCGAGGAGGAGCGAGTGGACTCCTGGCTACTCTGGCGACTAAGAGGCCTTTTCTGATCTTGAGTAGTTTGCTCCACTGCCTGTTGCTCAGGTTCTTCTTTTTGAGGCGTAGTTGTGGACTGTGCTTCTCCACCGGCTTCCTCCCTTCCTGACTCAACGTCTTTGGTCTCAGAGGAACTTTCCACCTTTCTCCTTTTAGGCTGAGACTTACAGATGTCGTCGTCGTCCTCCTCCTCCTCCTCCTCCTCGCTAGTCCTAGCTTCAGCCTCCACAGCATCGACTTCCATTTCTGTCACCTTATCCAGCTCTCTTTTTGATGCAGACACTTCCTGCGTTTGCTCTAAAGATTGATTCTCAGTTGAAACACTAGAAGGAGCAGATGCCGGGCCCTCTGCCGGGCCCTCTGCCGGGCCCTCTGCCGGGCCCTCTGCCGGGCCCTCTGCCGGGCCCTCTGCCGGGCCCTCTGCCGGGCCCTCTGCCGACAGCTCTGGGGAAACATCTGTGGACGCAGAGCTTTGCGAAACGACTGCAGAAGTTTTTGTGGTGGACACAGGAGGAACCGTTTTCGCTGTGACAGCTGCGGCTGCTTCCGTTACTAACACAGGAGTGGCTGTGGTAGTGTTTACTTGGGGAGTTGTGACAACATTTGTGTAGAAACTGTGACAGACATTCCTGGGGAAGATGTAGTTGTGGCTGTTGGTAATGGAGCTGATGTAGCACCTGTAGAAATTGTTACTGTAGGTGGGATCTTTTCTGCAGTTGTGGCAGGGGGAGCTGAAGTTGTGTGATCTTTGGAAGGGGCTGCTGCTACAGCGGTTGTTACCTGGACTCCTTCTGTCGAGGGTGATGTGGTTACTGTAACCGTCTCTGCCTTGGCTGTGGTAGTTACACTGACAGTTGTTATAGATGGGGGCGGAGTGCAGGTCAGGGAAGGTGCAGCAGGAGGTTTTTCTGAGGACGTGCCAGCTACTGGTACAGTTGTTACTTGTGCCTGTGCAGCCACTTGAATTGTTGTTGTTTTTGGTGAGGTTGAGACTGGTTTGGAAGTCATCACATTATTCCTTGCTTGGGCTGGAGAAGATGCAACTGTATTTACAGCAGGTGATGAGGCTGTTGCTACTAGTGGTGGTGTCGTAGTAGCATTATCAGACACGGTTGAACTTGCAGTGTGAACTGTGCCCTGACCAGTTGAGTTTAATGAACTAGCTTGGACGGTTTTTACTGTAGTTGTCATAGTTGCTGCTGCAGCGGGGGAAGACGTTGAGGCTGGTGAAGCTGTAGCTGGGCTAGTAGCTGTAGCTGAAACCTTTTGGGTGGCAGCTGGAGCGGAGGTTACAGTAGCTTGAGTTGATGTTGTAGATGACAAATCAGAGGCTTGCGTCACAGCTGTAGTTTTAGCTGTGACTGATTTAACTGTAGTGGTGACTGTTGGTGTACCGCTGACTGTTTCTGATATTAAGTTAATAGCTGTTGTGGCAGGGACTGATGTTGGAACAGCTTTGACTGCCACGGCAGACACACAGGATGGAGTGGTAGCAGCTAGTGTAGCAGCTGTGGTGGTTTTGGCAGAGTCTGGTCCTGTTGTTTCACAGTTGTAGAAACTAAAGGCTTTGGCTCTACAGGAGCTTTAGAAGCTGTGGAAACCACAAGTGTTGGTTTTACACCTGGAAGAGTTGATGTGACAGTGACAACGGGTGGCAATTGAGATGTGGTAGTGTGGGTAGCACTGACTGGTACAGTGGCTGACGTGGAAAGTGTGACAGAAGATGCAGAGGAAACCTGGGTTGATGCTTTGTCTGGCCTTGGAACAGTAGCAGGGGCTGAACTAACTACTTGTTCTGTGTCTGATGTGGAGGAGGCCACGGGGAGGGGTGTGGTCACCTGGGGCGCAGGTGCCGTGGGTGCTTGGGCTGAAGCGGAGATTGGTCCAGATGTTTGATCTGTTGTTGTTGAGGCTTGAGGTGGATTTGGAGCAGGGGCGGAAACTGGGGGTAGTACCTCAGCCTTAGTGTCGGTTTCCTCAGCTTTGGTAGACTGAGAGGCCGAACATGTAGGGACCGCAGCAGCTATATGGGTCTCTGACTTCAGGGGATGGGACTGTTGGCTCTGTGCTAGCATCAGTTTTTGATGTGCCAGATACACCAGTAGTGGTGATCTCATTTTTGGAGTTCTGTCCTTCACTAACAGTTTCTGGCATGTTTGTGGAGTCTTTGCGAGGACGACCCCTCTTACGTTTTGGGGAGACAGGGGGATTCCCTTCCTCACTTGGCCGTGGGCTGTGGGGAAGTGGTCACGGTGTTGTCAAGCTCAGGTAACCTACTGGGAGTCTTAGGGGGCCGGCCCCTCTTTCTTTTCAAAGGTGTCACAAGAGAATTCACACTGGACTCTATAGGGGTTGAAGTGGCGTCCTTGCCTTGGTATGTCAGTTTTTCTTGACTGGTTCCCTCCCCTTCCTTTGCCCAACAGCTGCTGCTGTTGCTCCACCAGCAGCATGCGAGATTCAGTTTCCAACCTGCGTCGTACAGGCAGATTTCTCAGCACAGGCATGTCAGGAGAAAGATGGGGTGGGGAATATGGAGGATAACTTCTGACAGGCTGTGGGGGCACAGATGGACTAGGTAGTAGAGTCTTGGTCCTGAGGAGATTTGGTAACAGATCCTTTAGTTATGCCGTCAGGGCCCGGTGATGTATTGTCTTTGTTTGGTTCGTCGACAAATACAGCAGTGGTATCCTCCACAGTTGCCTCCTCTGAGGAACCTCCACCTCCAGTGCCGCTTCCTCGCCGCCGCCTCCTTCTTGGCTCCTTCTCCTCCACCACCGTGACCAGCCTCCCTGGAAGCTTCCGCAGGACTTTAGCTGACGGGGAGTCTTCAACCAGGCCCCGCAGGACTTCACCATCTGCTGACTGACGCTTGCGAGGCGACCGGGAGCTGGTGGAGGGGAGAGACATGGCGCTGTGGTCTTTGCTGTCATCATCTTTTGCCTGATGGTCCACTGGGCAGCTGGATTCTAGCGATGACTCAGAAACCCTTCTCTCATTCTCCCCGTCTTTCTCCTCTCTGCCTGCTTTGGAGTTTCTGCTGTCAGTCTCCCCAACACATGGTTGTTTCCCTCCAGGGGGGGAGGTTGTAGGAGAGGAAGGCACTGGACTGGGATGGGAGCGGTTTGGCAGAGTCCTGGTTTTGATGGTCTGGTGATCTCTGGCAGGAGACGAGGCTTTTGAAGATTTGGAGGAATCTTGAGAGCTGGTTGATGAGGAGGTTTTGTGATAGTCTGTGTGGGACGGGGTGGTAGACACCGTATCAGTGTCTTTGGCAGCTCGTCCTCTCAGACCACAGCGGGGTCTTTCAGGCACTTCTTTAGGGGTCGTTGGCTCAGGCTCAGTTTCGGGCGAGGCCCACGCAGCCGACCACTAGTCCTTGTAGAGGTGACAATCTTGTCCTTGTCCTTGGGTTTACGGCCACGGCGGGCTGTGGCTGGCTGAGCAGGCTCCACAGAAGCTGGTGGTGACAAAAAGTCATCGTCGTCGTCATCATATGAAGCGTGGAGCTTTAGGCCCTCCTCCTTGGCCTGGTCCAGGCCCTTCCTGGCAGCCTCCACTTGCTCCTAAACAGACACAGGCAGAACAGATATGTAGAAGGTTTGCTTTTACAAAACTGTTAAAATTTCATGTTCTGGTTGTGTAGGACTACAGGGTTGGACAAAGTACTTAAACATCTTGCAATGTAACACAAAGTAGTGTTAAGGAAATGACCCTTTAATACTTTAAATCATTGTTGAATAAATACCTCAGTCAAACCACTATGATGAGTTCACCAGATAGGTATTTAGTAGTGCTGAAACGATTAAATGAGTCAATTAATGAATTAGTTGATTGACAGACAATATTGATCCCTGAATTTAGGTCAATTCATAAGCAAAAAGGACTGCTCTGTTTTATATCATTGTAAATTAAATGTCTTCGGTTTTGGACGGACAATATGAAGCAGATTTGAAAAAAATCACCTTTTCTATCCTTTAAATCGCCATTCACTCAAGGAAAACTGTATTATAAGTGTTTTGTTTTTTGTACAGCCCCGTACCTTTGTTTTGAGGATGGTAATTAAGATGAGCCTGAAGTAAAGTTGAATTTATTAACTCAAACTTTTTTGAAAGCTGAGCTGTTGAGACGCAGATTTCAATGATGAAGATGTGCCGTTACCTCAGCCTGCTTCAACTCTTCTTTGCATACATCTTCTAACGAGGCTTCCAGGAAGTTCATGGCGTAGCGTTCAATCGGAGTGAGCTAGGGATAGGCAGAGAATATGGTAAGTTAATGCAGATATACAGCAGAACAAGAT